CGAATTATAATTTCTCCGTTTTTTTTTTCAAATTAATTAAACAATTAAACTTGAAACCGATTCGCCTGCATTTTTCCGAACTTGAAAAACTGGCGAATTATGTAAATGCTGGGAAGTGAGCGACAATCATAAATAAAACTGAAAGCAGACCAAATATAGAGACTCATGGATGCGGGTGTGTTAACGCCTCTAAGTCAATGGGCCAGACCAATGCGCGTAACGCTATAATATGAAATTTCACCAGGTAATTTATAACTTTACTTTTTAATTAATTTGTACAGTAGCCGAACAATGGGAGTGGTTCGCCAATAAATAAAAATACAGCACCGTCATAATTTTAAGAAGAAATATGGAGAAGAGAAAAACTTGTTTTGCGAAATGTAAACTTTAGATACTCTATGCATTTAAAGACATTGGTTTTTACACAAAACCAAAAAATTATTTATTTCATAAGGACATTTTCAAGAAGACATGAATCTGAAATATAACCAAATATGAAAATATCAGCAAGTTTGAATTTTTAAAAAATTATATAATATTTAAACTTAAAGCTTATACTGTCCTGTTTTTAACTTTTTGCGATAGGGTAATTTCTGCACACTCAATCTGATCGCGTGGCTTACCAAAATTGAATTGAAAATTTTGTAAATAATTGTGTTTGGGATGAGCTGATCATATTTTGTGGTTAATTTCCGAACGATAGAAAGTGCAAAGGTGAAAGGACGGAGATCGGTGAAAGGAATTGCAAACAAATGGGAAAACCAAATAGAACCAGTACAAGCCCAGAGGCCAAAATCAATTTAAGCATAATAAGATGGTCACCCTGGTAATTGTTCGCTAATGGCTTTATTACAAGCCGCAAGACAGCGAAAACGGTAGTTAAAGGCAAGACCGAAAAAGGTAGTATAAACAAAGCAGAGTTGAGACCTGACCTAAGGCAATATAATCAGCCAAAGCCCCCCTTGAAAATCCCCTTCATCATTGTGAGTCACCAAAGCACGCGACTTGTGGTCGCAAAAACTGCTGGGAAAAAGAGTAAAATTGTCTCGAAAAAAGAGAGACATGGCTTAAATAAAAGAGAAACCAACCGGCAAGCAGTGCTAACAGTCAATGCAAGCAGTTCGCCGCCAGCGATCAAATAAACAAACGCGCAGACGCCAAACCACATTCAGTTTCAATTGGAACGTTGCGCATGCGCCGTGTATAAAAAATTCGCGCGCTTCGCTGTCTTCGCATCGCTTTTTCTATAACCGTTTTTCGGTTCGTTTGTTACAAATCATAAAAAAAAAAACATTTTTGTTTTTCTTTTTGCCCGAAAAAAACCCAGAGACAAATCGTTTAAATTATGAACTGTCAATATTAGTTACCATTATAAACCCGTTGGGTGTTTGACAAATATTTCGATATGTGAAAGTTGGCTAAAAACCAGAAATTTTAATTCTTATACAAAATTTGCATATGGTGTAAAATGACAAATAATAAATTGTGAAACTTATGAAAAGTGAAGTAGAACAAGTTGGAAAAAAAGGTTCATTGTGACCGCAGACAAAACAAATGACCCTTTCAAATGTATCTAGATCTATGCCCCAATTTCTTTTAAAGATTGAATGAAAAGAGCATCTCTTAAAAATCAAATGTATATGAGATCTGCATAGGCTGTAGAAAATATTGCACACTAAACAAAGAAATCTATGTTAATTGGGTCTTAGCTGAAATCTCAAAAATTTCACTCAAAAATAAAAGAAAACCTTTCCCAAACATTTTTGTAGACACGTTTCCCCTTCCTCGAAATTACCCTACAATAAAAATAAACATAAATGTTTTCAAAACAAAAAGTATTCTTTTCTTTGTCACCGTTGTAGTCACAACTAATTTATGCAGTCATAAGATAAGAAGGCATCGCCCCTTACTTAGAACTATATATTCAAAATATTTTCTATGCAAATTTCTGTTTTTTTGTCGTTAACAAAATCAAGTTAATTAATTAAATGTTGTTTGGTGTTTGTGAAATGCTTTCAGTTGGTTAACAAATATGCTTCACTAAGCGATAAACCAAACAGGAATACGAGACACTGAATAAATAATTGAAAGTGAGAGAATCAGAGGAAAATAATGCGGATCCCCAAGGGAAGATTGAGCGACTGGCTTCTGCCATTGGCATTTGGTAAGTGCAGATCTTTAAATTACCCGGTCTTACCACTAAGCCAACTTAGTTAGAATCGATAGAAACCAGTTTGTCGGTTCCATTTCGTTTTTTTGTTCATTGGGTGACTGAACGGGAGCAAGGTCGTTTGAATCGCACTAAAAAAATGTCGTTTTATGTTAGCCTGCCAAAATATTACAGATTATGCAATCCACAGAGATTCCAACTCCCCCTCAAAACGCGATGTGCCAAAATGCATTGCTTTACGAAATGTCAGTCATTGCGGCTGCGGGGCTTTGACCATCAATTGCCGTTGACAATATGAAAATGAAGATTAAATACCTGGATGCGACACTGTCTGAAATCCCAAATACGTGCGGAAAGTTGCGTTTTATGTATATTTGTGTATCGTAGCGAAAGTACGCGAAGTGATGGATCCGCTATGGATTCATCCACGTCCGTCGGGCTCTGTGCGGATTATCCGCACAGTGGACTCCACAGCTAACTCATATTTTTATAACAGGACATTAAAATTTTGATGGCTGTAAATGTAAATTGTAATAATGTTTTTGCCTTTCCTCTACCATTTTAATGCAAATAACTAATTATTTGGGAGTTGTAAGTCAAAGAGCCATTTCAAAATATACTTAAATATTTTACAATCTCAGTTATGAAAAACTCTAATATTTATCCTTTCTTAAAATTCACTTTAAAGAGGTCGTTAAAAATTAAATAGCACAAAACAAATTCAGATAATGATAACAGTTTCGCTATAAAAATCATTTTCAATCTTACATTTCAAATAAAATCCACCCAAAAATAATTATCCGGTTGTGTCATGGTCAATTTTAACACAATCATTTTATTTTATTGATGTAAATCAATTAATGGCGCCATAACAATGACAGTTCCACTGTTCAATCGATAGAGTAATCTATGGAAAGCCTTGTATTGATGGAATGGCATACAAATTATTATCGCCATCAACATTGACGGCATTCGGTGACGGTGCATTACAGCGCCAAGTGGATATCTAAACTGGACGCCGACCTGGGAATGAGAAATGGAGGATGGGGGTCGGAATACGGTGTACGGAGTACGGAACACGGGATTCGGGGATGTATGAATGTTCCATAGTTGAATCCATGGGGCAAAGTTGAGGTAAACGTGCTCCACATCGAGTACGCGGCATTTGCAGTGGAAAATGCAATTTCCCATCAGGGTAGAGCAAGGAATGTGTGCATTTGTCTGGCAGTGACTTCGTGGGAGATTGGGCAGATGTTTCGGAATTTGGAATGCTGCATCCATGTAAAAAATACCTGCAGCGGGCAAAGTTCGTCCAAAATATTTCGAACTGCATGACACGCTAGAGGATGAGAAAAAAATTTACCATCCTCAAAAGAAAACACACACTTCCCGGAGCAATTATGTTAATAACTTCCTAAAAGCGAGCAACTTGGCTTACCTAATGGCCAAAAACCTATTACAGTCATCACAGTCATTCATTTGGCATCCAAAAAAAACAAAATTCGGCCCAAGTTCACTAATTGCCGCCAACAGTTTACATTTTACATAATTTGCAAGTTTTGTCAACTTTCTGCGGTGCTTAATATTTGCAGACCCACAATTTGAAGGTCCATAAATTTGCTTTGGGGCAGACAACCAGCTGCGGATATATATATGCACGGGAAAACAAGATTTTTCACTTCCACATAGAGGAAAAAAAAATGTTAAAAAAAGAGTGGGAGTTAGGGGCGTTAAAAGAAAAAGTAAAATGTTTGCCGAAAAAAAACAATGAAAAGAAAAACTACAATTTTGCGGACACTGTCTGTGTCAATGACTCTGAAATGATTTCAACGCGAATTTCTCGTTTCGCTTCTCATTTCGCCGTTTACATTTCACCGATCGCTGATCCACAGCTGCGGGTCAGCAGCGTACGTGGACTTTATTAACAATTGGATAATTGACATAATAAGATGTTCAAATGGATAGAAAGCAGGCAGAGTTCCGTCCCGAGCCGGATCCATTTGAGCCACTTTCCAGATTTAAAAACAGCTAACCCTCGTTAACATCTCATTATATTTCGGCAAAAAAAAAAAATAGAACAACATATATTTCTTTTTATTGAAACAAAATATATAAGACAATAAGTATTTAACTTCAGTTGCAAACATTAATTTATAAAGAGTAATTATTAAAATCGTCAATAACTTGTGAACTGTAGAGTAACGCAGATAACATTTAATAATATATTAACAATCAAAACAATTAAAGCTCATATTTGCGAATATTTCCAAGAATATTCAGCAAGTCAGAGAGCTTTTGATTATCTTACATCTCAATTGCCGGCTATAAAAAGTATCAGATCTGCGCTACGCTACACAATAAGCTGGGTTTAACCCGCAATTCATTTTGTTCGAAATTAAAAAGGTTAAACAAAATTAATAGCTACAAAAAGGCTTTTTTAACGCCCTGATGTCTATTATTTTATTTTTTGTTTTATTAAAATGTTCTATTAAATTTGTACATATTAAAGAGACATTTTGATTTCTATTTTAATGACTATATATTATTGTGATCAATAAATTAAATATAAATAACGTTCATCTATAAAGAATTTCTAGCCAGTAAGTAAAACATAAACATACTAGGATTTTTAATATTATTATTTTTATTATATTTTATATATATTATTATATTATATAAGTTAATGTATTATTAATAAACAGTTATTAATATTTTGTTGGGTCAAAGAAGACCTAGACAACACGAAGCAGGTTAAAATGGCAAATAGTTGGGATGAATCGTATAAATATTCCCAGCAGTGGTTTAGAGAACCTCAGTTTCCATATTTTAATCAGCGAACGAGATGCACGGAAGCAGCAAACTGACTTTGACCTTGACTTTGGCCTTCGTGCTCGTCTTTCTTGGGTGCCCCACCACCCAAGCCCAACAGGGTGACCTCTTCCGGTGCAATGTGCAGTACAAATGTTCCGATGAAAAAGAGTTGGTTTGGGCCATGGGCGACGAACGTTGCCACGTGTTCCACAACAAGTGTCTGCTGAAAGTGGAACAGTGTTCCCGCAAAAGTAGTGGAAGATCGGAGCTGGTCGAAACCACACGAGAAATCTGCAAGCCAAGTTGCACAAAGATTTGTCCGGATGTCTACGATCCGGTGTGTGCGCAGATCTTCCAGGAGGAGTATATTACATTTAGCAATGAGTGCGAAATGCGCAACTATATTTGCACCAACGAAAGGCGTAAGTGAAACTCTTGAATCTGCGAGAAATATCATTCACTGACTTGAGTTTTATTCTGATTTAGCCTACTCCTATTTTGCGGTCGGAGAATGCGTTGAGCAACCAGCTGGCTGATTCTATTTAAAGCATATATTTTGTTTTGTTTTAGACAGCCCATTTAAGGATTTGCAATAAATGCAGGTCGCTTTATGACACAAACAGTCCAAAATATGAATACAAAATAAACACAATGCGAACAAATAACTAGTATAAAAGCTAAAGGGAATAAATTAATTTCAGTCATTGCTTATATTATTATATTTACTATTTATTTTTACTTCAATTTTTGTGTCTTTAAAACACAAGTAGACGAACTTCTTTTTCTGAGTGATTAAAGCACCTAAACCAACTTTTGCGTTGACCGGACATGACACGTACTATTCAGTCCCTAAATGCGATTTAACCCAATTTTTTTGGAGCGCCTTGACCAAAAACAGGATTTTCAACACAGCAACTGCAAGCCAAAATAAAATAAAATAAAGGAAAATAAAAGCAAAGCTGGTTGCACAGATGTGTTGCAATCATGTCTTTAATGTTTTAAACTGGCCAACTACAAGTTGCACAACTTTTACGCAGCCACTTTTGACTAGCGATTCAAGTTCAATGTTGTCTGGCTTTTCCAGTGCCCACGTTTCCACCACTTTCTTCCTGATTGGCCGCGATTGATCGGATTTAATTAAGGAAAAATTTTGCATTTGCAATATGCAAAACTCATTTGAGCAGCCACAAAGAAACTCCGCAGCGCCAATGTCCTCGGGGCAGTTTCGCAATTACGCGATGTCCGAGAGAGGTGGTTGCAACATTTTCCTCCGAGTCCCCATCGAAATCTGTCCAGGTTACAGTTCCAGCCCACAGATTTGCTTTCATTTGAATTACCTAGGTTACTTTTCATTTTACCCTAGTTGAGGGTATAATTATTACTACAAGCCTTTTGGTTAAACGAAAATTGGTTATGTTGGTTTAGCTTTAAAAATTGGTTAAAGAAAAAAATGTTACACATTTAATTAATCCTAATATCTAATCAAATTATAAGAAGCTTTCTTAAAAACTTTAGAATTGTTGGTCTTAATAAAAGGTAATTTGAAGTGTAAATGGCCCTTAGAGCATTATCAGTAAAAACGCAAATCAATTCATATTAATTTCATGGCCTAGCTTAATTTAAAATAAAAATCACTTTCATACTTCTAATTTTTAGACAGTATTGTTTAGGAATACAATTTTTAAATAATTTATCAAAGCACTATTTCGTTTGCAAGAGCATTTAAAAATGCATTCCGCAATGTCTCCTCCTTTCTTGTTTCCATTTTCATTTGGATTTGCATTTCTTGTAAAGTCTTTCGCTCTCGAAGTCTCTCATCCACTTTTCACCCAATGGATTTGATTGTTTTATGGCCTTTGGCAAATTTACACAATCCCATGCCGAATAGTTATCAACTTGTCCAAGGAGCGAACTGCAAGTCAAGTGCCTTTGCACAGGCGGAAGACATACTACTCTGTGCTCTCGAATGCAAATTTCCCACAGCTAAACAAGCTCAACGCCTTGTTCGACGCCTTCGATAATAACATAATTGATTTATATATCTCTCTCTAACCAATATTTGGACGGTCCCGTTTTCGGCTTTTGTCATTGTGCGGGGGTCGCGTCGGTTGATGAAATAAAAACCGGTGCCAAGAATGTATTTTTAATTTCGGTAATATCTTTAGGTCATTAAGTTTTGATTGTCTCATCTCGACTAATGACAAAATTTGAAAGTCAAACGGAGTATATTCAAAACTCATTTGTTGCGCTCTCTAATTAACAAACAAAGAAGTTCACGTGTAATAACCACGTTCAGAGTAAATTCGCATACGAAAATTGCATAAGAAAAACAAAATAATAATTCAGGGGAAAATTAATCGCTCGGCTGACTAAAAAGTGGAAATACAAATATTTTCTGCGAATTGAAAAAAAAACCTTGTAAATAAAATAACACACAATATATTTTGAGTTAATTTACAATTTTGCAAATTTAATTAAATGAAATGGTTGTTTTATTTTTATTTCCCTCCTGAATATTAATTTTGTAATAAACAAAAATATTTTGTTTATTTGCTTCCACTTTATAATTTTAATTAAAAGCGATCTTATTACTATTTAAGAGAAACTAAAACAATAAAAGATAGCAGGAAAAAATATGCAAAATAAATTATGGTCGTAAACATACTTAAAATTTTTGATCTTCGCTAACGAAACCAGTTGAAAATCGATACAAATTATTTTAAGCGGAATTATGAAAAATATAATGTTATTCAAGTTAAAGTTCGCATATATCAAAACAATTAAATTGGAAAACAAAAACATCTACTGATTCAAAGTTCTATAAGGAAACTAATATTATAAACGAATTCAAAAGTAGCTTATTCATCTCTTCCATACTTAGTTATTTTTAAACTCTTTAAAATGTGTGTATTAATTTTTATTAAACTGTTATAATTATTTTAAATTCTGTGCTCAATTTATTTGAAAAACTATTCAATTTAAGCTATGTGGCATATTAGATCATAACCAAAACATTGAATAAGCATACCCGCTGTGAATCCAAGCCAGCCCAGTCCTAAATTACCTCACACGACCGTAAAAACTGGGCTAAAAGCAAAAGCCACAAAATAATAAGAAGCGAAAATATTGCATGTGCAGATGCCTTGAATAAAACCAGCATGGAGTATAAAGAAAAAAAACATTGCTTAGGTGTAAACTGTGTGAATATTTTTCGGTTATTACACGCATTTTGTTATTACTATTTACCCCCCAAGCTTCTCGCTTAAAGTTTTTTTTTGGCAACTACACGAAGCCTTTGGCCAAATAAAGTCTTAAATGAAAAATGTCAACACATGAGACTATGTTTTTCATGATTATTAAAACGAGCAAGTAGAGTGGAGTAAGGTGGGGTGACAGTAGATGATGTGTAATGCCAACAAAACGCCGCATTTGGTAAGAGGCATTCCATTGTTATTGCCTTTGTTATTGTTGACGTTGTAACTGTAACTGTAACTGAGCCTGGAGTCAACTAAGAAATTGCTGATATACTTAGTGCAATGATGACGGACTCGTGCGTAACTTAAACGAGGAACCAAATTTACTCCGGCTAGACGAAGTAATTAATACTCTGGGATAACATTTCACAAACTAATTCATACAAATTATTAAAAACATACATTGTTTTCTTTTATTCTATTACCCACTACATTAAAAAGAACACGGATTAATCTTTAATCTTCTTTTATAAAGCATAAAAGTCAGTTATAGCTACTTTATATAGTCTGATTTTACAATGCGTTCACGACAATCACAAAACTCCCTAAAAAGAGTATTTTAATCAACTAAGCCGGCGTCTGGAGATGCCTTTATACATTTTTCATTCGCCCGATGACAGTTGACAGTATGACATAATTGGGCATTGTTGTTTGTTGTTAAAGTTTCGGTTCGGTTCGGTTTAGTAAAATTTTGTACCACCCAGTTTTGGGCCAAGAAGTGTTGGCATTTGGGTTTAATTAGTGGTCTAATTACCAAGCAAGTGATATATGAACTAGTTGGCCCACCAGAGTGAAAGTTTCAACAGCTGCTGCAACGAATATTTGTGGGCCAAGTGGCGCGTGTTAAATTAAAACCTCAAGACTTAAAAAATCCCAGCACCTGCATAGATGAAATTACTCGGATTAAAGCCAAGCCAAATCGGCGGTTTGACAAATATGGTTAAAAATGAACTGAACCCGTCTTAATAGCCAAGTGCACTTGTTACGTCTGATTGCACAAAATAGTCGTCTTATTGCAAATAAATTACACACAATAGACGGCACTCATCATTGGGGATGCGACTTGGGGATGGAACAGGTTAATTGGTTAACTGTTTGAAAGTTGGTATTCAATTGATGTAATGATCGTAATCACAGGGAATTTATGCAGGCTCAATCAAATGTGGAATTTCCTTTCATTCATCGGATCAGGGTTTGTACTCTTCCTCGGTAGCTAATGGTACGCAATTTTTAAATGATTACAGCTCAATTTAATTTGTTCATTAAATGCAGAATGGTCAGTCTGCCGATCCTAAAATTGTTTATTGTGTTTTAACAGCTAGTAATTCAAAAAACTTTCTAATATTTTAAACAAATAGACTCTATTAAATGAAAATACTAATTTCCTTTACAAAAGTATAATAGATTTAATTTTTCTAATGACATTTGACTTCGGCTTGGCAAAAGCTTTTATTAGGAAACTAATATATTTCTATAAAGCACGCCTTTTTCAGGTAATTGAAACATAAACATCAAACCTGATGTCAAATCATCATAAAATTTAAACATTTGGCATTATTCTTTTCATTTTATAAATCTAAATAGGGCGTGTTTTGATCATATTAAATTCAAGGAAATATTTAACCAAATATGTTAAAAAGTCAATAGAGGAAATAACTAAAATGATTCATTCAAATACTCGTGACCTCACTTGCTACATATGCAAAATACATTTGTCTTAACGAGACTACATTTAAAGCTGATAGAAATACAAATTAAATCTCTTAAAAACTTTGTATATTATGAGCAAATAATACCAATATTCATCAAAATTGAGATAAGCATAACTCGAAACATTGAATCATCATAATACCAACACATATTTAAAGTCTTGGACTGAGCAGGAAAATCAAATCAAGTGTTGAGGTAATTTTCAATTACATTTTCCGTTGCATTGCGCATGACGAATTGGACACGCCAACTGCTAAAAAGTAATTCAGAGCAACGTTGTTGCTGTACAAAAAACGCAATTTAGCTCCAGATTGACCAATATTTCGTTTTCGATGTCAAACTGTCAGAAATTAAAAAGTCAGCCAAAATAGAACAAATGTGATACCGATCTAATTTAACCTAATAGTTTATGTGTTTCAGGTTGTGACTCTGATATTGATATCCACTTATTAGGTGCTCGAATACTCTTGCTTTTATGTGGTGGTAATTAATCTCCGATAGTCACTAATTTGTCGATGTTACTCATTTGTCAACCACAATAGTCAAGGTTGATCGTGCGGCTAGCGGGTGATAATTTATAGCCGCTTTTACCCAAAGATTTGTTCGCCTCTCGGCGGGGTCTTTATTAACCAAATTAAGGCCAAATCAAAACTTATCTGACCTCTTTCACTGACCCAAACTCAAATAAATATCATGGTATTTCCCTGGAGGAAACCCTTCCATGTAATTAACGAAATAGGTTTGGAATGGTATGGTT